TTGTTGAGTAGAGTTGTTATTTTTGTTTTCTTTGAGCATAAAAAGTATTCTCGTAGCTTCATTAAATTACGGTTGAACCATGGATGTCACATGGACTATTTTAATGATGTCCTTACTACCTTTCTGGGCCTTGAATGTGGTAGTTGCATTCCTGTCTATGCAGGGTCAGAAACCTCTCGGATTTCATCAAAAATATCTTAATTTGTGTTCCGAAGATGAGCAAACGTCTTACAGGTTTGGAACAACATGAGGGTGAGTAATTAATGACAGAATTTTCATTTTTGGTTGAACTATGCCTTTAAGGCACAGGGCCACAGCCATTTCAATCAAACATTTAATCTGAGAGTTCAGCACATTAAAGTCTTCACCTGACCCGCTTTCATCACAACCAGCCACAGAGAATTTCCAGCGCCACCCATGAGGCATTAAATACTAAATCTAAGTCATGGGATGCCCCACAGGATTATTGAAGCTACAGGAACAACACCACACTTTGTTCAGTTTTCCCCCATTTCTGTCTTGTTTCAGACAACAAAACACTGAGGAACATCCAGGGTCCCAGACTTGTCCCAGACTCTGACATGCAGAAGTTCAGTGGTACAATTTAATAGGTTAACAGGCTACTTAACTAGCACAGGAACAAACAAGCTAGTGTATGATCAACTTTCCCTTATTAGGCAAATCACAGCTGTTTCAAACAGCTTAATGAAACCGAAACACCAAATCAAGCATGACTTAATGCTGAAGTTGATGAATTGCAACGCTCTTCTGCTGCACAACAAATGACCGGCGTTCAAGGGTGTGACAGAGGTCATCTGTAGTCCATAACAGTGGGCCTTTAGGACTTTGCCGCAAGAGTCACAAGTGACTGGTGTGAGTGCCAAAGCATGGTGTCATAACAACCATTTCCCGTAAAAAAAAAAATTCAGACAGGTGCGACAAGCTCTGACAAGCCACTATCATGTGACAGTGACTTCACATTTAGTTTCATATTTCAGTTTTTGAGAACAATGCTTTCCGTTTTTAACAGCAACAACAAAAAAAACAGAACAGTAGATGACTAGTATCATAAGAGAAAACGTTTCTGATAAAAATTGCAATTGAAACTTAAAATGTGATTTAAAAAAGCTCCAGATTGCCAGTGCTTGTTTGGCCAAAAGTTTTTACATTATATATCAATATGACTATAAAACAATTATTATTATTAAAAATGATTATTATTATTATTATTAGAATCATTACAAATGATTATTAGTACTACTATACTACTACTAAACTGCATTATTTAAAAAAGAAATATTGCTATTTTAATATTTCCCTGTAAAATAAAAAAAGAGCATTTAAGGTAAAACAATATATTAATTATTATTTTATTGTGCAGTACAACTATAAAATTACAATACAAATATATTAATGCATATTCATATTTATTTTAGAACTACAGTAACATCTTCTGATTTCTCTCAACATGGGGACAGGAGAGCTGTCAATCAATAAATTGGGGGAAAAAAGTAACTTGCGTTACTTATTTGAAAAAGTAACTCAGATATTCTCTTGTAAATTAAAAAGTAATGCGTTACTTTACTAGTTACTTGAAAAAAGTAATCTGATTACGTAACTCACGTTACTTGTAATGCGTTACCCCCAACACTGTTTATGACAGTCTTAATTTTTTTCATTTTCAAACGTTAAACCATCAAGTTTTTTTAGCAGAAAAAAGCAGGGAGACCTTAAAGCTTCTCTTTTGTTGACAACAGCTAGTTTATAAGTACTTTTAATTGCAGGTTTGGGAAGGCGGTTGGTGCATGTTGCATTTGATCATCGCAATAAGTCATATTGCAATTTTAATTTTATTTTGATTAATCATACAGCCCTACATAAAACCCTTGAAACATACAGATATTACAAGCATTGGTATAAACTGCAGCATTGGAATATACTACTGGCAACTCCCATGAAATTTTTTTTTTTACTTAAATTTTAAATTTTAAATTATTTATTTATTATATTATATTATATTATATTATATTATATTATACGGTTTGGTTATACCTGCAAAAAAACACTCTTTGCTTAAAGCCATGACACAACATGTTTGCAGCATTTAAGTAATGCAACATTTCCCCGCACAGAATGCCAAGTCATCAACAGAACAGACACTGCTTAACAGGAAAAACTGCGATCCCAAAACACTTCCCAGGAACCAGTGATGTGATTAAACAGACAATCCCTGCAGGACATGACTATCATTCCACATAACTGAGATCTACACTCAGATTCAGGGCATGTATGAGTGCTGTGTGTATTGCAACACTGCAATTGTTACAACACACACAATCACAGCTACTCTCTAATGGCAATCTCAAGTATTACATCAACAATACACAATATGCAATTTTTGCCTGAAATAAATGTTAATATATTTTTTTTAATTAAACACACAAAAATTATATAAACACAAATATAACAATACTGTTTTCTGGATGATAAACCATATAAATATCAACGACTAAACTCTTAACAAGAATCAAACATAATAACTAAGGTCTTTCTTTGTAGACCCCCAAAACAATGTGTGCCAATCTTAAAGTATGACATCATTTATAGTCATTTATGTCAGTGCTGTCAAAAAGCTGCACTTCAGCACAGCTCACTCTATAAGACAGCAACACTACTACCTTCCTAGCCATTTCCAAGGTCTTTGAAGCATGTATAATACATATTAGGATGCTGTCTGTCTGGTCTATTTTGTATTTGTATTGGAGTTTGGAGACCCACCGTGACAAGACAGCCAGTGACAGCCTCACTGTTTAACCGGTCTAGTATATTTAATAAACAAGCCAGCGCTTTATTATTAACAACGTCTTAATTATTACTTCTCATATTTCTATTTCAAACTCCACTGCATTCATAAATGCTGACCAGAGCTTAATTGGACATGGAGGCCCGGTGATATGTGACACATACACAAGCAGATCCGCTAGACATTCACTCACTATAACCAGGCACATATGGATCATGTGGCTGGATGCTGCAGGTGTACCTGTTGTGATGTGAGCTCCACATGCAGGACTCTGGAGGATGCTGCTCCGGGGGTGCTGCTGACAGCTCCAGCGGACACTGCGAGATCCCGACCGGCGGTGGAGTTCATCCTTCTACGGTACCACAGGCGATCGCCTCATTCAGCCATACAACTCAGCCCCATCGGCGAGAAACTCCCGCTCACGAAGGTGTCAGTTTCCGAACTTTCTTCGCAAACGTGCAGATCTGTAATACAACGTACACTGAGCCCGCTAAACGCTGCTACTGGAGTCCCTACGGCGGCATAAACAAAGTAAGTCTTGCCTAGGAAGCCATTACCGCGACCTTGATCGGCAAACCCTCGCATGATGCCTATTGGCTGAGGAAGCTGTCACTAAAATAGATGTTTGGTGACGTAGATGGATATTCTGAGTTGATTGGTGGACAGCTTGTCAATCAAAAGGAAAAGGGCGGGAGGAGGCCTTTTAGAAACTCATGCTGCGCTCTGTGTTCCTACAAATATGAGGAAGTGCGGGACCGTGTTTGAGTAACGTGATCTCAACGGGCGGAGTGCTGAATGAAAACCGTTTGTTCTCCCGTTAAACGCAATATCGGGGTGAGCATTGTACTGATACGAGCATAAAATGTATAATGTGCAATATATTGGTAAACTGGCATGGTTCTTGTACATATAAAACGACAAAAGTACAGTTCGCTAAACAAGTTTTTTTGTAAATTCTTACAAATTATTGAATCAGTAACCTATGTAACAATCAATTAATATTATTATTATTAAATAAAAAGTATGCATGAAGCACAAGAGGACGCCATTGCCCAACTTTACTAATAATAAGTCAACTGTCTTGAAAACCTTGTTGTTCCTGATTTTAAAAATATATAAATAACATACATAGCATAAAAATACATAATATATACAATGAACCACTGACCATATATCATTTAAATATTTAAAATTAAACTTCTTAGATCAAATAAATTTAAGGGATTTTGTAAAATATGGAGTGACCTAGTTATTTTTTGGCTATTTAAAATAACTCATAGGCTAACTATTTTATTTTATTGATTTTATTTTTTTTTATTTTATATATATATATACTGTATATATATAATTTTAAAATCTTTTAATTTCCTGGATTTATAACTGCTTATAATTTTATAAGGCTACATAAAGCTACATGTAGATCATTTTAAATACATTAAGTTGAAGAATTTTACATTTGTGAAAGAAATATTCTAACATAATACACAATTAGTGACCTACATACAGTAAATAAATCTATATCTTTCAGCCATGTGCCCCACCTCACTAATATAAGCCAATCAAATAATCCACCTTAGTTCCTGGGCCCCAAAAATTTATTTTTGCTCAGTATAGTTCAGTGTTTAGTTGCTTTGTTTATGTCTATACGGTGCATGCTACTGTGATAAATCCTATAATGTATCTCAAAGATATACTGGATTTTTCTGTGAATGTGAATTACAAAGTGTTATTTGGTTTATCAAAGGCATATCTGAGTTTATACGAAAATAAATCTGGGCTGGGTTTAAAGGCTGGGTTTAAAGACAGGAATAGGTGAACATTTGCTGTTATGTGTCAAGGACAGTGTTGTGGTTCAAAACAGGACAGACATAGAACTTTTCCATAAACGTTTATTCTGAAAATATATAAAAGTTTACTTTAAAGAATCAGGATTTCATAGACATCAATGACAACTGATATCAGAGATGGACACTGCAGCATTTATTGCATATTCAAAACTTAAAAGGCAATTAGTCAAAACTGTGAATCTTTGGTTAAATGTCAGCATGTAAATGCTTATTATCCACCAATGAAGTGCTGCAGGTCCCCTGAATCCATTAAATAAACAATCACAGTAAAAACTTTAATATCTCAGGTTAAAAATGTTAGCATAAATACATTTCGGCACTTGAATTGAAGTTATTTGCTATTCAAAAAAAATGTATTTGATTTGGCATGCAAACACATGTTTGAGGTCTCTCCAGCATGATTGCCTGATACTTGTAACTGGGATGAAATGTTGATGTCAAATAACATGCTGAAAACGGAACTTATCTGAAGGCTGCAATATTAGTAGCATGTAAACTATGAGCTCAACAAAGCATGTGCAACTTATATATGCAGAATTAATACTTCTGTGGTAAATTCTCAGTTGTGTTGCAAAAAAAAATGACCAGCATTCCGATAATACTATCACACATTAACACATATTCATTATAATCTTCACCTTCTGGACTTCACTTTTACCTTCGATCTATGATCATATAGGATAATTTTCTTAACAGCAAAATACCCTGTCATATTTACTTTTGTTCCAACTTATTCCAACAAATTAATCACACTTTTGCTTCACCTCCACTCTTTGGTTACACAACCACTCTGTGATTTTTAGTGAGGCAAAACTCACAATACTTGCATTGCTTGTGCAGTAAAATAATATAATGGGGGCAAACAAAATGTGCTTTTATATAGTACAGCATTTAAATTAAACCTTAAATACATTACTTGTAAATGTATTGCCATATATTGAGGAATATACGTCCACCAGCTGTGAAATCTAGATTATACTTCATGTAGCAATCGGTGTAGTATTTATTGCATAATGCCACCCAGTGGCAATAAGCAGAAGTGACACAGGCTATTCACTGTACAGTTGTACACTAGTACTGTTTACTCTATTGAATGAGTAGAAACAGCATTGATTTCTTTCACCTTCTCTGAACAGGCACTTTAGTTGGGAGGCAGATGTTCCAGAGTGTTCTTTTATACAGTTATTATTCCTCAATGCTGCCTTTCATTGAATTTGAAGGGTGTCACTTTCATTTAGACCAAAACGGGTCTTATAATTGTCAAAGAGAGACTTGAGGGACCTGATGTACATGGCATGGTACATGTCTATGACGTCCTGACTCGGCTCCTCGATTTTTGGAACTGTGATGGGTTCACCAACTGTAGAAAAAAGAAACATTAAAACAAATCATTCACAGAGCATTCAACTCGAGTTAAACCAAAATCATGTCAACAAATGACTAAATTTTAACCATTAATGTGGTTCTGATGTCAGCAAATAACGACCGTAAATTTGATAGAGCAGTTCTATCAACATGGAGACTGTCCTTGAACTGTATTTAACTATATTTAGGTTGTTTCATTATAACCCGTGTAAAACAGCTTTCTGTTTTGTGCCAGTTTAAAGCTAGTAGGATTCAAAACACATATATATATAGGATTTAAACGTTATAAATATGAAATCTGTAAATAAAACAATATAAAGTTTGAGTATACAATATTTTAAATACAATATTTATTATTTAAATATTTATTATATTTTTATACATTTTTGATAATAAATAAATTATAATAAATTATATATATATATATATATATATGTTTAATATATTTTTTGAAAACTCAATTTAGCAAAAGGCATTACTCACCAACAGTAGTGATGGGTTTGCAATATGGTACAAGACCCCAGGACTCCGGGAAGAACAGTCCACAACCATGAAACAGGCATGGGGCAAAGCCTAAAATCTTCTGAAGCCTCTTCTGAATCGTGCGCCACCAAGAATCATCGTCAAAAATCAGCTGTTTGTAAACCTCATTCTCACCAAACGAGTAGACAGGCACCAGATCAGCACTGAGAGGGGAACAGGAAGTTAAAAGTTATAAAAATGACAAAGAAAGACATATTTTAAAATACAAAGAGAATCTGCAATGGTTAATTTCACACTGTTTCAGTGTAATTTTGTCATACAATTTTGTATTTGCACTTTAGGAACTTGCTTTTTGTGCTTTTTTATCCTATAAGCTTCTATTAGATTTGAATAGTTGAGGATTTTCTCATTACTATTGCTTTGTAATGATATTTTGGCTGAGTTCTTGTTGTTTCTCCACATTTCTGATCACAAAATACTGGCTTAATAGGCTTCACTCCAAACTGCTTTGTTAACCCAACAAGGGCTTATTTCTGAAGGCTTTGTGTTTCTTCACCTGCAATAACCCTGCCATTTACTGCTTGTCAAGAGAACCTGAATCAGAGGTGACAGCACTTCAGGAAAAACTCAAGCGGTAACACTTTATTTCGATAGTCCACTTTAGACATTCTATTAACAGTAAGTAACTTTGCAACTACATGTCAACTAGCAGTTAGTATAGTATTAGTAGACTGTCTGCTTAATATCTTCTAACACTTTCTTTGTCAACTTATTCTACTAACCCTAAACCTACCCTGTCTACTCTGAGAGTTAGTAGACATGTAGTTGCAAATGAATGAGAATTAGTTGACATGTAGTTGACATGTAGTTACAAAGTTACTTATAGTTAGTAGAATGTCTAAAGTGGACTATCGAAATAAAGTGTAACCACTCAAGCTACTTCTACCAGCTAACATAAACCAGCACAATGAACTTTATTGAATTGTTTTGTGGAGTAATGCAGTAGTGCTGATTTGCAGTTCTCACCCTTGCTTGAGGGCCAGCTTCACAAAGCCTTTGCGGTTTTTCAGCGTGACAGAGTTCATTCCTGGGGTGCAGTCCAGAGACTCTGCAGCCCCTCCGATCACGATGACCACAGCGTTGCCCGTACCGTTACTAGACAGGAGGTAGTCAATGGAGTTACGGTTTACTGGGCAGATACCTGAGAAACAGAAGGGTATAGAGTCTTATACCAGGCTTTCCCAAACTGGGGTTTGTGAAGGAACTGCAGGGGGTTCTTGAGTTTATGAAAAGCTAAACAAATCAAAGAAATTTAAAATGTAATTAGCCTAAATGAATCATTGTCAAATAAAAACAATTAATAAAATAACGCACTTAATAAAAAAATATTTTATATTGCAATTAATCAACATCACAGAAACATAAACATGCAAATGTGTTGTTAACTTACTGAAATAAGAACCTAAAATCTGTGCTTGGTATATTGCGTTGTTCAATATGTAAATGAGATGTTGCGTCTGTGTTCCTTAATTTGCACGTTGTTAGTAAATCACCCACAGAAATGTCCACGCCCATTGGCGCTGTTTTGGAATCGTGCTAACTTGCCTTGTTTAGTATAACTGGCCCTTGGTCTACGACTACGACTGGCATTCCTCATTTCTTATTCCTACGAAAATTAACCATGGTTTTATTATAGCTAGTAAAAGTGTAGAACCCATGTTTTTTGCGGATTAATTACCATTTGTATAACCAGAGATTTACTACAAATACCATGGATAAACTATGGTTATCGTAGCATGGTTTAACTATATTAACCATGGTTTTTATTTGTAGTAAACCCATTATTAATTTTTGTATGGGTTGTGAACCGATTTCATAAAACAAACAAAAAAAATACTGTTTGGTTTCATTAATGGCTCTTGCATGTGCTTTTTAAAAAATACTGTTCGGTTCCATTAACAGTCCTCGCACATGCTTATATACGTCAGTGAGCATGCATGGGAATACCGAATACCAGCGATATTTATTCAGCAGCGCAGAAACACTACTACTGAATCTACAGCGCAAATCAGTCAGCGAGACCAATGTAATCCCATTGATGAGCCTATTATATTATATTATATTATATTATATTATATTATATTATATTATATTATATTATATTATATTATATTATATTATATTATATTATATTATTGGAAATTTTGAGGAAATTTTTGTTTGACATTTTTAAACAAACTACACTCTAAAAAATGCTGGGTTATTTTTTTTAACCTAAATGCTGGGTTCAGCCTGTTGGGTCATTTTTAATATTTTTACCCAGGGGCTGGGTCTTTTTTTTTTACCCAAATGTAACTAAGCTGCTGGGTCATTTTTAACACTGGGTTATTTTTTTATACCCAACCGCTGAGTTGAGCCTCTCTGATGAAACAACCCAGCTGCTGAGTTACAGTCAGAGTGCGGGCTTTTAGCGTCCTACAGGAGAGAGCGGCTCTCAGCGCCACCGCCACCAATTTGGTGCACTCTTTCCGGGAAATAAAGGTTTGTATACATTTTATTTCATTTATATAGTCTTTAATGTGGTGTAAATTATATAATTTTACACAAAGCAACATAAGGACGAGATCATGTCAGTCAGCTGCGTCAGCAGCGGTCGTTTAGCGTTGGAAACACCTTTGCCTTGCATAACATAAATGGATTTTATTCGTTATAATACTGAGTTTAATTTAATTTGATGTTAAAATATGTTCTCTAATCTCAGTACTGTTTGTTTATGAGCAGGTTATGGAGTCAGTCACGCCATCTTTCAGCTACGAGTGAAACGCGAGGCGGCGGTCTGAAGTTCGCAGTTCCCCCGGCAAACAGCAGTCCATCACCGGCTCAGATTCCGGCGACACACCGGCACGAGAATTAGCACTATTTTGGTAAAAAGTGATTACAGAGAACGGTTGAAAACACTTAAATTAAAATGCTACTTTTAAATGCGCCTTTTTATTTCTAAAATGCTTGTTAAACGAGTTTAAATGTATGCAATATTTTAAACTATGCTGTATTCACCCAAATAAATTCAATTTGTCTTGTATTTTGTCCATGAGTGTTCTTGGTTAATAATAAATGTTCATCTTTTGATTATTGCTGTTGCCTATAGTACTTCTGTGTATGATTTTTAATTTCCAGCCCATTTTAAGCCAGCAATATAATAATTTTAAAACAATAGATGACTTAAATAAAACAACCCAGCATAGTGGGTAAAAACGTTTAACCCAAACAGCTGGGTCAAAATAACCCAGCATGTGTTCTGTCCAATACTGTATTTACCCAGTGCTGGGTTACCAAATAACCCAAGCTGGGTTGTTTTTAACCCAGCATTTTTTTAGAGTGTATTGACATTTGTTTCTTATAAGAGAGTGGAAGAAAATTCTATCAATCTGCGGGTACATAGGGCAGGTTTCAACAGAAGTTCTTCAAAAATATTGACATCAGCACATGTAGGGCCGTGTCTCTCAACGCAATAGGACAAAGCTCAGAGGTCCTTGATAGACTATAGGATTCTTATCTACAGCACAGAGAGGACAAGTATGGCCCTCTTTTTAATCAGCCCAAAATTAACTTCATGCATTGAGTCAGTTTGATCTTCACTCATTGTCACATGATGCAACTGCAGGCAATGAATACATTAAAGTTTTAATGCAGAAAATGAAACGGCTATATGTACCTCCAGACATCAGGTAATCCCTTAACAATGGCAAGCGGAAGTTTCCAGCTAATGTGGCCAGAGACGGCTTGATTCCAGGGAATATCTTGGAGAATCCTGTGGCCTCAGTCCCAAAGTTACAAAAAGCACCAAAACAGAAGATGCCGTGAGGGTGATAGCCAAAAATGTAGTTTCGGCTGGGAAGCAGGTTATGTGTCTTGATGAGCTGCAAATAATCAACGAGAAAAATGTGATTAATTCAACTGTGAAGGCAAAATTGAATATATATTTTGCATTAAACAGACCTATTTTCCTAGATTTAGGACAAAGGTCAGTAATGACATACTTTATCTAAAGGCAATAAATGCTCTTTACTCTGACACAGTTACAATTACTGTACTGTGTGTACATTATATTGTTCACGAACACATTTTCTTATCAAGAATTGTCATTAAGCACTTATCTGCTGTCCTAATATATATTCTTTTCTGCATATAATTAAGGAAAGACATGGGCTTGCAGCAGATATTAGAATGGAACAACAGTTAACATCTTAAAAGGAAGCCAATGCACTCAGAGTATGTACAGAGTGTACAAGCTGCATAGCCTGTGTACATAAGAACAGCTAATCAAACAGGCAGTGTTGCATAATGACATTAATGAATGAAAAAAAACAAAGGTTTTAAGACAGATGCCGCGTCAGACGGGATGGTATAACCGTCTGGAAGAGACTTCGAAAAAAGTCTAGCCTATGGAATGTTTGCTGGTGCCCTTGTTTTTGAGAGTAACTCTCAAAACAACACCTCTTTGCCATACATAACTTAATGTTATTTTTATTATAATATGGTGTGTTGTGAGTGGTTACCATAACATTGCTATGCAGTTGCTAAGATTTTCCAAAGGTACGGTCACATTAGTGAAATTTTATGGGTAAAACAGATTCATTGACAATGGTCTAGTGATGTGTGAAGTCACTTTCAAAGCAAGCAGTTTTCTGTTGGTCAATGTAGCAAATGCGCATTTCAAACTTGAACCCGTTGCGAAATCTCGGGCGGAAATCTTTCACCATCATGAGAAATTACCAATTGTGTGGATTCCTATTGAAAATTTGCCAAACAATGGTAAATGTGACCACCACACCTGTAAGTGTTTTTTACTGCATTGCTATGTGATTGCTAGGGAATATTGGGTTGCCAGGTGTTTGCTTACTGGTCCAAGTCAAAAGCACCCAAGTTTTTTATCTATAATATTTTTTTTAATTAAATATCCAGTTATAATTGTATCTAGCTCTTAATGAACCCTTTTTATACACAAATTTGTTTGCAACAGGTCTGATTTTATCATTCATACACCTACCTAATTCTTCAGCAAGACAATTTTTTGGTCACCACTGGCCTTATTTCTCTTCAGGCTTATCATAACGCAGCTGGCATGCACTGTAGCACTAGGTAAAGTGATGATCTCATCATGTGACTAAATACACTACGTGTACTACAAGGTAAATGTCCATGCCAACTGGCACACACAGGGCATTCCTTTGAGTCCTGACTGACTCTCACATATATATTTTTTTATATTAAGTGTTGACTGTGGTTTTGATTTAATATGAATACTTTAAATTAACATTTGCATTAAATTACTGTTTCTTAGGCCAGGATTAATATTATAGAGAAAGTGTGTCCGAGAGGTAAAAGTTTACCTTTATTCTCTTTCATCATGCTGATCTGTGTATGATAATACTGTGTCTGACTCATAATTTAGTTCTAGTAAATGTTCTGTAACACCTAGTTGTTGTAAAGAGGCCTGTACTCTACCACGCATACAAGTAAGACACAAACAGAAAAACAAGTGCTCAGTGATTAAGCTTCCACTAATCAGAACGAGCAAAGTCTAGCAGTGCACTTACAACTCACATCAAGATCCACCCAACCCAAGAGGAATGTCAAGCAGAGAAAAGAACAGGATGAAACTAATGGCTGATTAAATGTATTTTTTATCTTTTCCCCTTTGCACTTAACAGAGTTATCAATGCATATTTACACATTTTCCGCTGGCTGGAATATATAAACTACCATTCAAATGTTTGGGTCAGTAAAATTTTTCTTAAACAAGTGAATGCTTTTATTCAGAAAGGATGCATTAAATTGTTCAAATGTGACAGTAAAGACTTTCACATTATTACAAATTGTATTGTATTCTTTTGAGCGTTCTATTTCAGAATCCTAAAAAAGAATTCACAGTTTCCACAAAAACCATCAAGCAGAGCAATTTAAACTTAATAATAATGTTTCTTGAACACGAAATCAGCATATTAGAATGATTTCTGAAGGATTATGTGACACTGATGACTGGAGTAATGATGCTGAAAATTCAGCTGTGCCATCACAGGAATAAATTACATTTTAAAATACTCAGATAGGAAACAGTTACTTTAAGTTGTAATAATATTTTACAATATCACTGTTTATATAAATGTAATCTGGTTGAGCAACATTAAGAAAAACTTACTGACCCCAAATTTTTGAACGGCAATGTATACGCAAAGTGAAATGTCAAGACATTGTATGAAAAAGAATATGTGAATATAATGTGTGAGTAAATAATGAATCATTTTTGTGTCAACTGTCCCTTTAAATCTATATATAAATGCTGGAGTATTTGTACATTGACATTTGCAAAGTCCTTATATTTCCTAATTCCACTTTGAGGATCTTTATTTATGTAAATAGTAGCTGTTCAGTTTTTATTTCCTTAAACTGTAATGTTGTATAAGATGTAAAATCACTCACTCTTATGGGAAAATAGTCTCTAAAGTATTTCCACACAGTCCAGTTTCTCACCCAGGTCGATCTGCGGCCTCCTAAGGTATTGAAACATTAAGAAAGAATACAAATGCAAACACAGTCACAACAAGCATCCCTCATTTCTAAACAGATTGAATCATGAATGGTGTGCTTTAATCGGGGAGAGAAGAATAAAAAGGTTACCTTGTTTAGGGGTATTCCAGTCATAGATCAGCCAGGCGGTGTAAATGGCGGCAATTACCCAGCAGTCTGTGCAAAACATGTACATCAGCAGCAAAGAGCAGCCAATGCCTAGAAGAGCAAAAAGAGTAATTAGAGTTGACGTAAATGTGTAAAGCAAGCTGAAGATGTAGAGAGCTGAGATTTTAAAGGAACAGTTCACCCAAAAATGCAAATTTACTGAAAATTTACTAAACTTCAGGTCATCCAACATGTAGATGAGTTTGTTTTTTCATCAGTACAGATTTGTAGAAATTAAGCATTGCATTACTTGCTCACCAATGGATGCAGTGAATGGGTGCCGTCGGAATGAGAGACCAAAAAGCTAATAAAAACATCGTAATAATTCACAAGTAATCCACATGACTCCAGTCCATCAATTAACACCTTGTGAAGCAAAAATATGTGTGTCTGTAAGAACCAAATCCATTATTAAGCCATTTTAACTTTAAACAGTCACTTCTGGCCAAAAAATTTGTTACCACTGTTATCCTCTCACATCAAAATCCAACGACATATTGGTTTAGAATTGTTTTGGACTGTTTTCACTTGTAAACAGTGCTTAATCTGTGCATATTTCTCTCCTGATTCAGACAAGACCAATTTTTCACTGAAGCAATATTATGGATAGAGGGCACATATTTTAGCTGGAAGCAACATTTTGGAGTTTTTTCTCCAACACAGCTTTTCACTTCACAAGATGTTAATTGATGGACTGCATTACTTGTGGATTATTGTGATGTTTTATCAGCTGTTTGGACTCTCATTCTGACGGTACCCATTCACAGCAGAGGATCCACTGGTGAGCAAATTATGTAATGTTAAATTTCTGCAAAGCATGAATAAACAAACTAATCTACATCTTGGATGACCTAAGGGTAAGTAAGCTAATTTTTCATTCTTTTTGTGTGTGTGTGGGGGGGGGACTACTCCTTTAACATTCATAAACACCAAAATTAATTCATGTGAGTTCAGTAAGGCAACACAATGTCCTAGATTGTAAATTCTCTAAGCTGCCGACTTAAGTCTCGTAATGAACTTAACTCTTTCACTCACCCATGGCAAGAAATGTAATGACAAACTGCAGGACAGAGATCACCTGCAGATGTTTCACGATCTTGGATCGTGTCAGCCAGGGGACGGAGGGCAGGTCGTGTAAGGCCGAGAGGATGCTGGAGCCTGAGCCTATACAGGATTTAAAGGAGAATGGGAATTAACCAGTTTAATGATGTGGGAATGCTTGTTCTCTACATTAAGGTCTGTCTCAGAAACAAAATCTCAGAAAAAAAAACTCTCAGATGCATGAAATAACAAACTAGTGACCCTTTGCTATTAGAATGAGAGCACACAACCAACACTGTGATACTTCTAATTCATTATTCACAAAACTCGAGCAAATTTTACACAGTGCAAAAAAGATAAGATGCAGTGAAGCACACGTTTAACCAGTTTAATGATGTGGGAATGCTTGTTCTCTACATTAAGGTCTGTCTCAGAAACAAAATCTCAGAAAAAAAACTCTCAGATGCATGAAATAACAAACTAGTGACCCTTTGCTATTAGAATGAGAGCACACAACCAACACCGTGATACTTCTAATTCATTATTCACAAAACTCGAGCAAATGTTACACAGTGCAAAAAAGATAAGATGCAGTGAAGCACAAGTACACACTTCTCTTACAATCATTGAGATCAGATCACAAGACAACATAATCCCATTTTAACTGAGTCCATCCTGACTGAAAATAACAACAAACATCAGACACACTGCAAAGTAAGACACTGTAACACTTCTCTCAGTCCCTGTCGATGATTGGAACACTTAATGATGGAGACTTAATCTCACTTAAGTGTCTAAACTAACTTAACTATAATTTTTTTTATGTTTTTGCATACATATTTATACATACATAAAGCATGTATACATTTAATTAAATGATAGCACTCAATATATTTAGAATGCAATTATTTTACTAAATATTTTTACATACCCTTTTTCACACCGGAATATGCAGCGAGTATGGTCTTCATGGTTGAGGCACGAATAATAATAAATGAAACTGAATAAATCTCGCTGGTGGAGGTTGAGCTGCTCTACAGCATCCCTCTCTGTACAGGCGTCAGCCGCGAGCTCACAGGCGCGCGCCTGTCATTTAAGCGCCTCGGGGGGGAGGAGCATAGAAAGCGCTGTCAATAAACTATAACCGCCTTCGCTGTCATCAATATTTTAAGACGAAAAGTTGTCAAGTTTTGAATTCCAAAAAAAATGTTTCTGTCTGATGAATTTTCGTCTACAATAGCTGGCTAGAGCTGTCAAACTTTCAAGGCTCCTTGCTGAGATGGTTGGCTCTGAATGGTTATTATCGCTTCATGTGATCTGGAGGTTTTAAAGATCTGTGAACGTAAACTAGACGGGGGATGGGCGCCCAGCCAATCAGATGGAGGAGACTTTAGCCCCGCCCTCAGGCTTTATTGACCAACACTGATTGTCCACTCTTTGTAAAAACCATTAATTACTCCTTTTTTCTCATATATTTCAACTTGAAAGTATTTAATTTACACCAAGACTGAAATATTCTATTAATAAAAATAACACTTTGTAGGTCATTATACACAACCTCAATAGGCCTCAGAACTCAGAAACTAAAGACGGAAAAAAGTGAATGACTGCAGCCTGTGAGACTGAATGTCCATTAGGGATATTAACTGTTTCATAATTCACATTTTTTTCTTTTTCACAACACCAAGGCCAGCGTTGCTACTGCCAGTGACCTTTATTGGCCTGTTCTTCTTGCCAGGCTTGGCCAGCACTCAGATGGCAGAGAGACCACTCACCTTTATCTCTGTCTGATCTGCAGCTGCTCAAGCATATTATAACTGCTTGAAATATAAAAATGTGCTATGTTTGGTGTATTTTTATGTCTTTATAGATAATACAGAGTATATTGTTATGCAATATATATTTAGTGTATATAAAATGCAATTTTGTGTACATTTTAAGTCAGAAATTTTAGCAATTTGGGTTTTTAAAGTATTAACGTTTATTACGTCATTTTTAGCCTGCTAGTTCTGAATAATATTTTATGATGTTTACCTATTTACTTGAGGTCTTTTTTATATCTGATGCCAGAGTAGGTAAAAACTGATATTAAGATGGTTTTAATGGGTACTGGGTGCCAATAATCAGCCAATTTTGATGAGGAAATATATTCAGTCTAGACAGTAAATTACACAAGCTCACTGTAATTTGTACTGTATCAATATCAAAGGTCCATTTGGCAGAGCTCATATAGTTGGTCTTTGAACTTTAATCTCTATTAGCCAAATCCTCCTTTGTGGGCATTAATTGATGTACATTGGCATACTTATGTCTCATATAATCTGAAGGTCAACAGAGAAAATGTTTTTGCAGCATCTTTATAAAATATTGTTATTCTTTCTTGTAGCCTATGGTTTACTTCTTCATCAGCAGAAGTGGAAAAACAGAACAGTATTCTTACAAGTGTGTATATTGTTTTGACCTGTGCAATAGCGGTCATCCACACTGTATGTTTTTACCCACTAGTGCAGTTGGAGAAAAGGTGTTGCTGAAATGATCAAATGTGTACTAAGCATCCTTGCTTTACTAAGCTACTTGTACTTTGCTCTTTTGTTCTAAAAAATAACAATTAATGATAATATAAGATTTTCACATCAAGATATGAGACATCTCATTTAAAGATTTTGATTGGGCAAGAAAATCATAATTATTAGAATAGGGAAAATGGAATTAATTTGATATTGGACTGTAGATATGATGTAAATACATCTTCTATACAAATTAATTTCCATTGGGTTAAATGTATTTTTCTGAAATCACATGAAATAGTAATGCATACGTACAGTTTATATAAATATAAGGCAATTATTAAAAAATATATACAGTTGTGCTCATAAGTTTACATACCCCTTGCAGAATGTGCAAAATGTTAATAATTGAAACAAAATAAGAGGGATCATGAAAATGGCATGTTATTTTTTTATTTAGTACTGTCCTGAATAAGCTATTTCACATAACAGATGTTTATATATACTCCACAAGACAAAATAATAACTGAATTTATAAAAATGACCCCATTCAAAAGTTTACATACCCTTGAATCTTAATACTATGTGTCATTTCCTGGATGATCCATGACTGTTTTTATATTTTGTGATAGTCGTTCACTAGTCCCTTGTTGGTCCTGAGCAGTTTAACTGCCTGCTGTTCTTCAGAAAAATCCTCCAGCTTCTGCACATTCTTTGGTTTTCCAGCATCTTCTGCATATTAAAACCTTTTCCAAAAGTGACTGTATGATTTTGAGATCCATATTTTCACACTGAGGACAACTGAGGGACTCATCATACACAACTATTACAAAAGGTGAAAACATGTACTGATGCTCAAGAAGGCAAATGCATTAAGATCTGTCGTGTATATATATATATATATATATATATAATTTATATACTCATATTTGGCCAATTTGCCCTTGGTCATTTGAATTCAAGCAATGACCTTGCTTGTACCTTTGGGCATCTTTAAATAGCCTGTCAAAGTGTTATCACAGAGCATAATTCAGTGCATGACCAATTTGTCAGTGCAAGAGCCGAAGCTTCCAGGTTAGTGAAACACCCCTTTACCTCCCCTCTAAACCCACCATTCACGTACGAGATCCATTTTATTTTTTTACCGTAACTTGCTATAGTCATAACAAGGGTTTACCTCCGACCCAATATTTTCATGCATTTCGTATTTGCACTATATTTAAACCAATGACATAGCGACCGGTGAGTTTAATGACTTCCATGTCTTCCATTTCTTAGGTCCAGTGCTGACCTTCGATTGGGATGTCTATCTCTGTCTCTGTCTAAGTGCAATGGTCCAAGCCTGATTTATCCAGTGTAGACATCTGGTCAGCCTGTGGTCATTGCGTGTGTAGTCAGCCTGGTTGTGAAGAAATGTGTCCTTTCTGGCATGACTAAATCTTTTCTAGACCAGTGTGCATTGTGAAACAGGACTGACCATTGCATGGTGTTAGCTCTGACCCAAATCATCCCTGAGGACAAAAATAACCTCAAGAGGCAGGGATGCATTTGTCAATCTGTCTATCTATCTGACGTCAAGACTTTCATGTTTTACACCATCAGATGAAAAAGCTTAACTTTGTTTTACTACATGTTGTAATAGCTGAAGACATTTACATTGCAATCCTCCTGAGAGATGCAACCGTCTTTTGGGAGTCAGTGGAGAAACTTTAGTGTCTCTGTGTCCCGAGTCAATCAAACAGACAGAGTAGTAAAACTGGTGCAGATTTATTCAGACATGCTGCTTCAAAGCACATACAGTAGAAAATACACTGTAAAAGTGATTACTTTTGTTGATGAAGTCAGGTTGCATTAGCCATATTACATAATATTTCTGATTTGAGTAAAACCAGTTAATTTAGAAGTTAAAACATAAAGAAAATTTCATTTACGTGGAAAAAAAAATTTTTTTTTGAAATGTTTGGTACATGTGAAAGCATGAACTGCTTTGAATTACAGATTGCATTAATCAGGAAATACAATTCTGATATTACATTCAACAACTGGTAAACAAAACAGCAATGGTTTAAAAGCTGACAATATACAACTGAGACTAAACTAGACATGCATAACTGTCTTTCTATCTCTTTCTTGTAAACACATACGTACACAATCTCAGAGTCGCTTCAGTGATCCTCTCACTGGAACAGCAGGTGAGAATCTTCAGCTACTCCATAATTTCCTTTGTGTTCCTCAAACAGGCGGCTGAGTTCGTCCATGTAGCGCTGGTGAAACACGTCCAGTTCTTCTGCCGTTGGTTTCTTGTTTTTCTCTACTGGAATTGGCCTACCCACTGGGAGAAGACAGAAAGGACTATTCAAATATTTCCTTCATAAATAAATACACAAAGGTGAAGTGACTTTGAAAGCCTTTGTTGCTATGGATGAATGAATAGACAGACAGACTGACAGATGGCGATAGATAGATAGATAGATAGATAGATAGATAGATTGATTGATTGATCTCTGAGGCCTAGCAATCGATTCATCTCACGTTTGCTGATATGACTGTCTGACAGTTCTCTGGGGTTGCTAAAAAGCAAATACCATGCTTTAACTTTTCAAGTTTTGCAACGGTTTGGACCTGCTTACAGTAGGCTAAAAGTGGGAACAGATAAGACTTGTGCATTGGTACAGTACAACAAATAAATGGCTAACAAATGACAGAGAGGTTATTGCATCTGTCTAGCTTAGGCTACAAAAAGGTAGTGGCACAGATTCAGAATATGGCTTTAATTTACACTTAACCTTGACCTGACATCAATGATATTTGACTAATATTTGATTGTGCTTACCAACAGTGTTGATGGGTTTTCTGTAGGGCATTAGGCCGAAGCTGTACTGGAAAACTCCTCGTGCGTGGAAGAGAGGCAGAGAAATGCCCATAATGCATTGCAGGCGCTCTTGAATATATCGCAGCCAGGTGCCTCGGCGGTTCTCCACCTGATCAAATACCTCGTTTTCTCCAAATGAGTATATAGGAACCAAATCTGCACTGGAGGAGAAAAAAAAGGATTTTTAACCCAAATTCTTTGCTGTCTTTGATAAAATATATGCACAAAAAAGTGAGAAAATATGTATGTAAGAGATAATGTATACAATCATTATCACAAAATAAACCCTGACATGTAACAGATTAAATAAACAGATATTAAATGCTCATTTGAATATAAATAATATATTTCTGCAATTTTATTCCGCCTTATTAAATTTTTTTTCTTTTGTACAATTTCTTAATCAAATTCTTTAGCTTGGGTAACAGAGCCTTTCATAAATTCAGCGCTATTGCTTGCAACAGCAAGTTGCCCAAGCTTGTATTTCAGAATTGACTGACTGTGGCTCAACAGAACTATTTGTCGATGCACAACTGGCACAAATACAACAAGAGGCTAGCATAGCCTCTCATACTATTAACGGGGTCATATGATGCGATTTCAAATTTTCCTTTCTCTTTGGAGTGTTACAAACTCTTGGTGCATAAAGAAGATCTGTAAAGTTGCTAAAGTCTCAAATCCAAATCCAAATAGATATTCTTTATAAAAGAGTCAACCACGCCTACCTAAAATGCCTCGTTCTAACACGCCCCCACATGTCTACGTCAC